AATTCCAATTGCATGCTGCAACAAATTTGAAGAGGCAAGTGATAACCAAAAAGTTCATAATAGGGTGTATAAAAAAACAAATTGGGAAGCTTATCTAACTTACCCACACAAGAACAAACATAGCTTATGTTGTGAGTGTTCTAAGTCAATTTATGCATAATCCACGAGAAACAAATATACATGCACCATACAAAACTCCTTAGTATCTCAATGCAACACTAAGAAAATGAATCTTATTTAAAAGAAATAAAAGACTCAATTTTAAAGCATAAATTGATGCTAATGTGGCACGATCACTTGTAGATAGAAGAACTACTACTAAATACTACACTTTCTAGGGTAAGAATCTAATCACTTTGAGAAATAAAAGTAATAAGTGGTCATCAGATCTAGGACCAAAGCTGAATTTCAAGCAATGGCCTAAGGAATCTATGAACTATTAAAGATCAAAATTATCTTAAATGACTTATGAAAAAAAATGAGAAGATACTATAAAATTATATTGTGACAACAAATCAGTCATCAATATCACACGCAATGTAGTTCAACATGAATGAATCAAACACATAAAAAGTGATTGATGCTTCATTAAAGAAAAATTAAGAAGTGGACTAGCACAATATGTTCAAACACAAACAATTGACTAATATTCTAATCAAAGGACTATCGAGCTCCACATTCCATAATATTACCACCAAGTTAGGCATGAAAAATATCAACTTTATAGCATGTGTTGGAATATTGGTGGTTCTAGTAATTAGATTGGCAATCAATGGGAAAGCAAAACTGGTTGCCCATCTTACCATACATTAATGGCAATCCATATGACTTAAGAGGCAGAAATCTAATAGAAAGTGGATGCAATTTTTTCAAAATCAGCGAATGACAATAAGAAATTAGGAAAAAATACACAAAAACTATTTTTATTACAAGATACATGAAAGAAAATAGCAATATACAATTGGATCTTCAATTAGTGAGGAAGATCCAACTCTCCCGAATCCCTAGCCGTAGGCTAGAGCCCAAATAACCTAAGAATAAGCTAAATTCAGCAAGCTCCTAAAACATCCTCTAAAATCACCCTATTGTTAGCCTTAAATAGGCTCCCATAATACCCTCCCAAATCAGCCTCATTTCCCTAAATAATTCTCTTTCAGATTTGAATTCAAATTAGATTTATTTCCCTAATTAATTTCCTCCCAATTATAATTAAAATTTTCCTAAATAATCCCCCCTTAATTCCTCTTCCTTTTCCCTAAATAATTTCCTCTTAGATTTTGAATTCAAATTACATCTCTTGCTTAAATAATTCCCTCCCATATTGTAATTTAAACATTCCTAAATAATTCCATTTTTATTAAGAATCTTCCTAAACAATTCTCTTGATTAAAAAAATTTATAGATTCCCTCCCAATCAAATCGGCCGGTCCATCAATACTCCCCTCCCAAAGTGTCACCTTATCCTCAAGGTGGAACAAAGAAAACTGCTACTGAAGCACTTAACTAATAGCACTGGAATGAAAATTGGATTGACACTTGGTCGAATGATCCCTTTCTCCAGCAACTCCCTAATCAATCTCTGGATCTCATCCTTCTGGATTTGGTAATGATACAGATGAACGCTGATAGGTGAGACTCCTTCACTCAAGATGATAGCTTGCTTGCATTCATGTGGAGGAGGCAACCCCTGAACTGGATGGAAAAACTTTCAATACTGCTATAGGAGTGGCTAAATCATGTCTGGTGCATCTATCTTCTCCTTCCAAATTTTTCAGCTCCATAAAAAATCTCACTCCTTCATCCTTTCCCCTCCTAGGAAGTGGCTCCAAAGATGGCATCTCCTCTCCCTCCAAAACTTCTACCTCTTGATTCTCCCTCATCATCCCTATATTAGGATTTCTCCCACTTCTCAGTCCAATCAACGGTCCTCTCACCTTCGATTTTATCGGTTGTGTGAAGCTCCAATAGTTTCCTTATCATTCCTTCTAGGTTCGAAAACTTTTCATCCATTGATGTCATTCTATCCTCAAATGCCGATTTGAATTGGCCAACTTTTCATTTAAGACGCTCTTTTAAGGCATCAACTTTCTTTGCTGCCAAAAGTCCCAGAAAAGTGCTCTGATACTACTTTAATGGGAAGTGGATGCAATTTCCTCAAAATCAGCGAACGACAATAATGAATTAGGAAAAAAAAACACAAACTATTTTTATTATAAGATATATGAAAAAATAGTAAGATACAATTGAATCTTCAATTGGAGATGAAGATCCGGCTCTCCCAAATCCCTAGCCGTCAACTAGAGCCTAAATAACGTAAGAATAAACTAAATTTGGCAAATTCCCAAAACATCCTCAGAAATTACCCTATTGTTAGCCTTAAATAGACTCCCATAATTCCCTCCCAAACCAGCCCAATTTTCCTAAATAATTCTCTTTCATATTTGAATTCAAATTAGATTTATTTCCCTAATTAATTTCCTCCAAATTCTAATCAAAACTTTCCTAAATAATCCCACTTTAATTCCTCTTCCTGATGAGGACATCGTCAGAGATTTCGACACATGTACCATGAGGAGACGCCGGAGATCAACGGCCACGATCATGAGTTTTATTTTGAGTCATTTTATGTAGTAGTTTATTTGGATTTTATGTTTTTCCGTTTTTGCCCTTATGGGTATTTGGTCGTTATTGTAGCCCGAGGGGCATTTTAGTCTTTTGCTTTCTTGTCATTTTGAGGCCTATTTATATGGCTCTTTTCTCATGTAATAGTTAGTTTTTGATGAATAAAAATTTGCCACTTATGATCTCTTTGTGAGTTCCCCTCCTCGATCTCTTAGTGAGTTCGTAGGAGAAGCTAGATCTCTTTGTGAGTTCTAGATTTTTTCGCCAAACTATTTTGTCTTTGAGAGTTCTAAATTTTCGCCAAATTATTTTCGTGGAGATCCGGATTGAAGAAAATTGAGGTGAGTGTAATTTTAGCAAATCAAATCCCTTGAAATTCCCCTCCTCCCTTCCCCTCACCCCTTGCCGCCGCCTCCCCTTGAGCCGCCCAGGCCGCCGGCCTACAAACCCCCACCCGCCGGCCAATAGCCGGCCAGCAGCCCGCCGGCCACCCTTTGGACCCCCTTGCCGCCGACCCCCTCTAGCTCCCCCCTTTGAATTTTGAATTCCCCTCTCTTAATGACTTTCCTAATTAAGCCATATTAATTGGGAAAATTAATTAAGAGGAGTTACACATATTTGAAATTCAAATTCAAATTCCCTCTTACTTTCATTTGAATTTAGGAGTTACTTATTGTAATTAATTAAGAGGAGTTATACATGTTTGAAATTCAAATTCAAATTCCCTCTTATTTTCATTTGAATTTGGGAGTTACTTATGATATAATTAATTCTGAAATTAAATGTCAGATTTTATTATGCTTAATTAACTCCTTGTGGTCCCCACTCATTTAAATTCTCAAGCCTCCTCACCACTATACATGGCCGGCCCCTCTCTCCTCTCTCTCCCCCATTAATCTCTTTTATCCACCTCACCAATCTTCATTAATTGGTATCTCATTATGGATCCAATTAATTAAGATTCCAAACTTCCTAATCACCTTAATAACTCCACAAATTCAGCCCAACTCTTCTCCCCATTTCCACCCCTCTCCCTCCTTGGATTAATTTGAAATTCAAATTAAATCCCTCTCCTAAACCACTAAAATCTGAATTTTATTTCAGACTTCCTGCATTTGCCTCTTAGCCCCCACCATAGCCGACTCCCCCCATCTTCTCCTCTTTTGCTTCAACAAGTGGTCGGCTCAAGGGCTCAAGGGCTCAAGGGCTCAAGAAGAGAGTTCTCTACATCCATGGACGGCCGATCCCGACTTCGACCACGGCTTCGTCTTTGAAGATCAAGGAAGAATGGATAAGACGTTGGATGCTCACTAGTCATCCCATGGACTACCCGCCACCGGCTACCACTCCAACGAACTACACTTTGTGCTCCATTTGTCTCCTAGTGGCATCGCTCGGTTGCTCTCAATCTTCCTCCATTAAAAGTGCCACCAACAAGAGAGTGAGTGAGAGACCCAAGGTGAAAAGTTCTATTTGTTAATTATGGATTATTGTTTCTCCCCATAACATTACTCTCTAATTTTATGTTGTCATTTTAATCTTGTCCCGTTAATCTAGTTGTAACCGCATGCCTTACTTAATTTCGACTTGATAATTCTGAAAACCTAACTTGGGTAAGCATTAATTCTATAACTAGCAAAGCTTTAATAGTCTTATATTAAAATCCCCAAGCAGTTCTTGTTTCCATGCATTATGTTTCACATCACTTCCTTTTCCCCAAATAATTCCCTTTTAGATTTTGAATTCAAATTAAATCTCTTGCTTAAATAATTCCCTCTCAATTGTAATTTAAACATTCCTAAATAATTTCCTTTTGATTAAGAACCTTCCTAAATAGCTCCCTCTAAATTAAGAAACTTCTTGATTCCCTCCCAATCAAATCGGTCGGTCCCTCAAAATCCCTCTCAAATTTTTATATAAATAAATGTGTGCAAACTATAGAATATCTTTCATTATTTTCAAATAAACTAATAGTTTACGCAAATAGAAATTATCAATCATAATATAGAATCTTGCTTTATATGTAGAAAGGCAAGACCCCCAATGAAGTATGCATAAATTTTAAATCATTTCTCCCATCTTTATCTTGGATAGAATTATGTTATAACTTATAAGTAACAGTAGAATTTTAATGGTAGTTTATGAAAAAGAGTTCCAATATCAATATTTTTGGTAAGAAATAAATACATTCAAGGTCTACAAGATTTGATTCAAGTATATTTTATATAAATGATGGATATGCAAGAACACAACCAAAATCCTATCTAGTTTATGTAGCTAATTCTTACTTCAAAGAGCATCAGGAACATAAAAGAAAAATCATCAATGAAAGTGAGAAATTTAAGAGTACCTAAAAGGAAAATAGAGATATTAGATACCTTTGATTGATCAAGGTTCTTAGTCTAGAAGCCTTAAAGGGTGGAAAGGTCAGCTTGTCACGAAACAATGGGTTAGCTTCAACTAGCTTCTTAAGCTCAGTAAGCATTATATTACGTGCAGACTTTGTATCACCATACTTTGAAAGCTGCTCATTTTGCCTATAGAAGAAGAAGATATGTAAAGATGAAGGTGCATAATGTCCAGAATTTGGTTCTTTCTTCAAAATGTATGTCAGGGCACAGCATACAATAAGATGTATAAATACTAAGCTGAGTTAAAAAGATGACAAGAGAGGGTGAAAAAAAAATACCTGAAATTCTCAAGGGTAAGTAGCTGGGTAATCTCCTTGAAAAGTTCCTCATTGAATGAGGCAAAGACCTTAAGATCTTTCACCAGTATATCTACAGCTTTAGCTCTATCATTCCTGCATAATGTATCAAAAACCCTTTTAAAAGTTTGGATCCAGAGTAACAGAGAAACATGTGAAATCCAGATAGTAAAACCACACCTATCAAGTGCTTCAAGATACTTTTGCTTCCTTATCTCAAAGAAGATTTTCATGGAGTATCGATTGTCTTCAACCTTAGTAAACCCACTTAGATAGCGCTCCACTTCATTCCACTCACCGGCCAGAACTTGGTCCTCAAAATGTTTCATATTGAAATAAAATCCAGACTCTTGCTCCAGCCTAAAATCGAAAATAGGTCCACAATTGAAAAATTCAAGAATGCTGAAGTAGAATGTGCAAGCGGGCAAAGAACTTACTTATGGACGGTTTCCTTAAACTTTTCTTCGTCCAAAAATTGTAATATGAGGAAAACTAGTTCCCTGCTCAACGACGACATGCTACCCGGAATCCCTAACCGCTCCAGCGCAAAAAAATAGGACTTCCCGAAAATCAAAATTCTTCACAACTGGAAAAGAGAAAGCAAAACAGAGTAAGCAAACAAAATACCGTAATTACACACTCACTTTCCGAAAACGACCTCCACTACCTTGTAAACCTCCTTTAAAACTCTCTCTCAAAGCAGAACCACAAGCACGAGTTCTACAAACATCTTCAAAGCAAAGAAGTAGATCTTCCAAACCGATCTAAACCCCAATCAGTGCCATCCGCCAAAAGAAAAAAACCATGAAAGCACCTACTCTCCTGTTCACCCGCAGCTACCTAGGATAAGTTTCTTACAAAATTGAACAACTACTGCATCACAAATCAAATCAACAAAACAATAAGAAAAAAAAATCATCAAAAGCAAATCCCCTAAAACTTCCAGCCAACCCGTGAATCACTATCAAATACCCCTGAAATAAGCCATGGATCCACAGCTCAGATTCAACCAGAAAACAACAATCGCAAAGGACGAAAAAGTATATAACAATTCGAAGTAAATTAAAGAGAACTGCTCACGATACTTTAGGCTTTCTCGAACTTCCCTCTTTACTCCGCTGTCCTGCCCGCCTACTCGCTCGCCGCAGTGCTCGTTCGCTTCTTCTACTTTCTCCTTTTTTCCGTTCTCCCTACCCCCTCCCCCTGACCTCCCCGCTTTTATAGCCCAATCCCAGCTCGCTCTCTCTCTCTCTCTCCTCTCCCATGCTTTATACCGGAAGGAAATCCCTAGCGAATAGGTGGTTACCTATTTACCACCGAACCACTGCCCTTCCATCATAATTACGATTCCGTCCTCATGCATGTTCCGTCGGCTTAATGCCCTTGTACGGACATGGCAACCCCGTAAAAAGAGACTCCCATCATTTGTCACCTCTCAGGGGTATTTCAGGAAAGTCAGTGACCCCTGTCGGTTTCGTAGACGACCGAGGAGGACATAACAGTCATTTAATGCTTCGAGATCCTCGTTTGGGTATTTTCGTCATTTCGCCTTGCCAACCACGTCAGCGTTCCTCGTACAGTTAACCATTCTGGCGCCCTCAAATCGGAGATCTGATATAACCACCATTCATTTCTCTTAGATGCACTCCTTTTCTCTTTCAGAATGATTCCCCGGCGAAATAATCCGTGAGATGTTTAACATTTAAGGAGTCCAATTTTAAATCCCCCGAAATGCGATCTATTAATTAACTCCGATAAGGACTCATAAAGTCATCTTGATAAGCAGATTGACTTATCACTGGAATGTGATAGGACGGTGTTGTTTTTGACAACTGACAGACCTTACTTTTATAATTAATTAACGAGTGGATGCTGTGCTTATCAGCTAATTTCTTTGGATTCACTTTACACTTTTCAGCTAATTAGTTAATTTTTTTTTTAATTATTAACAAAATTTCAAATTTCATTTATATTTAAATTTCAAAAATTAGATAAAAATATTCTAAATTAATATTTTTATTAGAAAATATTTTAAATTTATTTTTAAATTAATATAATATAAATTTGCATTAATTACAAAAAATATTTAAGATATTTACTCGACCTAAAGTTTTCTATTAAATCTGACATCAAGTTTTCTATTAAACTTATTTCTCGATATTTTAATTTTTAAAATAATTAAAGAACTAAAATAATTAATGTTATTATCAAGGTTGTAAAAATCGGACCGGACAACGAATCGGAAGATAAGAATAATATTTAATATAATATATAAATTTATTTTATTAATTTATATAATATATATTATAACAAATTTATAATACAAATTAAAAAAATTGTGCACCCAATTAGTCCAAATTCGTGGCCCAACCAGTCCAAATTTGTAGCTCAATCAACCCAAATTAATGATCTAATAAACCAAAACTCACATTCAAGCTCGTATAGTATTCATGTAACTTTTTTAGTGTCAGAGCTCTTTATATAGCTCTATCTTTTCTAATAAAAGTTATTTTATAAGATGACATCCATATATTATGGTATTAAAAATCTCATTATTTAATTTAAAAATTTATTTTAAAAAATGTAATAAAGTAAAATATATTATTTCTATTTTATTAAAAATAAAAAAAATAAAAATGGTCGGTTGAATAGGTTGAACTAGCCGGTCCAGTTCGATTTTTAAAACCTTGGTTATTACAATTAATTTAATTGATAATTAGTTTAAAGATAATCTTTATTGCTTTTTAATCAAATTCATATTTAAAGTATATTTAAAAAACTTTATAATTCATAAATGATAAAAATAATAATAAGAAATGCTCCAGTTGAGGGCTAGAATATATACGGCGATAGAGTTAGAAAATTTTTTGTCTCAACATATTACGGATATCCAGTACAAGAACATAAGATGAAAAAACACAGGGATTTTTACATGGAAAACTCTAAAAAGGGAAAAACCATAAAGCCACGCCCAGTTGAAAGAATTTCACTAATGCTTGTAGTCGATTACAAGAGGCTGACTCACCTAAATTTTAGGACTATTAAATTATAATAATCAACTCTCAGGTTGAAATTCAGTTACAACTGTATATTAGAATTATGGCATGACTTGGTGATCAGGTAGAAAATTGGCGTCAGTTAGTTATCGGACAGAGCTCCGGCGTCACTTTGAGGTCAGGCAGAATTCCAGCATCACTTGGAGGTCGAGAGGAAACTCTTGGAGTTCGGGCGAAACTCTGGCAGTGGTCGAGGAGGAGTCTCTTCCTTCTCTTCAGTGCCACTTGGAGTTCTGGAAGAACTCTGACAGTGGTCAAGGATGAGTCTCTTCCTTCTCTTCTCCCTTCTCTTCTTGCCTCCTTGCTTAGTTCTAGCATCGGTCGATTGCAGGGTGAAAGTTTGGAGGTTATCGAGGGGAAGCTTCTTCATTCTCCTCCTTTTCTTCCTTCTCTTCTTCTTTCTATTCTTGCCTCCTTGCTTAATTTCGACGTCGGTCATCTGCCAGCTGAAAGTCCGACAGTGGTCGAGGGGAAGCTTCTTCCTTCTCCTCCTTTTATTCCTTCCCGTCTTCCTTCTCTTCTCTTCTTTTCTTCTTGCTTAGGTCCCATCTTAAAAGAAATGACGTGCTATTTATAATTTTCTGAGAGTGGCATGGCTAGTAAATAGGTGGAAGATCAGGGGCAAAATTGGGAGTGGTTTGAATGGACAGCCGATGTTGAATCCCTTGATCATGGACCGTTTATAAGGCATTTGAAGGCTCTAGTGATATTGAAATTCGACGATCTTAGACTCGTTGGATTCGCTTGTCGAGCCGCTTGATTTGACTATAATCACGCCACATTTGGAAACTATTTGGTAATCCAAATCATGGATTGAACCTTCCAAATGTGCTTCAGGTCTTTGATTTGTACCAATTTGAGCTTGGATTGGGTCAAATTTGGTGTCGTTGGGTTCATATTTCCAATACGTTCAATTTGATTATAAGTTTGCTGAAATCATACTTCTTATGGTCTTCGATTTAATTTTTAAAGTTTTCAATCTTGATTTTGCTTCGAGATTCGTGCCGATCAATATAATTCTTTGATGATATATCAGCTCCAAATTTTACTATAAAGAATTAGAGAGAAAAACCATCAAATTCATATCATAGGATTTTATGTATTTATATAATTTATATTTCAATTTGTTGTGTGCCAAAACATTCGTTGTAATAGAAAGATATATAGAGTTTATTGCCTTATCATTTGTATAAAGTCCAACACACACAAATAAAAAGGGAATACAAAGATTGTAAGAGATTCCAAAGTATTTACATGGAAAGATCTGGAAAGAGAAAAATAGTGGGGCCTAACTTAGTTAAAATTGCAGGTCTACAATCGGACGAAGTTGATTGAAGAATCGTAGCGGGGCAATAGTATTCCGGGAATCTTAGCCTGGTGACAGCAATTAGGAGTGTAAGTGAGCTGAGCCGACTTGCGAGTCGAGCTTATCGAATTTCAAGTTCTATCTCGAGCCTGTAATCGAGCTTGTTTACTAAACAAGCTCGAGTTCGTGCTTAGTCCAACTTGGCTCGTTAGCTCGTCAAGCTACTCAATTTTAAAATATATATTTTAAAAATTTTAGTATACCCGTTTCTTAAGAATTTTTTAAGATAACAAAAATTCAAGCTTCATAAACGAGTCAAGTTCAAGCTTTTCAATCTAATCGATCTCGAGATTTTTAAATGAACTCGATTAATCTAATCAAGCTTAACCTTGATTTGTATACAGCTTGTTGAGTTTGAGCTCAATAAATGAGCTCGAGCTTAGTATGAGATAAATGAGCTCAACTCGTTAATGTTACCACTCGACTCGACTTTACTTGTTTACACTCCTAACGGTGGTCGAGAGATCATAGTTAAGTGTGTTAGTTGGAGAACCTTAGTCATTCCATATTGGTCAAACGATCATGGGCGAAGAGATTGAAGTCTAAGGATAGTAGTTAAGCTATAGAGGTTGGAGGGTCGTTTTTAAGTTATGGTAGTCATAGGGTTATAATCGAACAACATTGGTCGTAGATCTATAGTCGTTCAATGGAAGTTGGAGGGAGATAGCCCTGCAATGCTAATTGCAGCAATAATTGAGCAATAATTGTCAAGAATCATAATTGGATGATAGTGGTCAGAGGATCATAGTGTGATTCCGGTGGCAGTGGCTGGCAGGTGTGTCGACAATAGTTGTATGGTGGTCCAACAATGGAGGTCGGGTGGTGATCTAATGAAGATGATCAAGTGGTGATCCAAAAGTGATGATGTCACTATCTAGAATCAAATCTGAAAGAATTGCCTATTTATCATTTAATAATATATTAGAGCTTCTATAAATCATCAATATAATCAAATATCCAACCAAAAACAATTAAAATCATATACATAAAATTTTTTTACTATATTCATTTACCAAAATTTTATAGACAGTAGTTAAAAGATCACTACAATCATTAATCTATCACAAGCTCCTGACAAAAAAATAATAAAAGAAAAAAATATATAATTGATATGTCATCACAAAATTATCTTGATTGGGCACGAATCTCGAGTCAAAATTAGTTCGAAAACTTCAAAAATTATGTTCGGGAGCATATGAACACAGATTTCAGCGAGCTTATAGTCAAACTGAGCGTCTCGAAAATACGAACCGAACGACACCAAGATCAACCCAATCCGATCCCAAATGAGTTTGAATCAAGGGCTCAAAGCGATGTTGAAAGGTTCAAACCGCAATTTGAGTTACCAAACGGTCTCCGATTTTGACGAGATTATACTCGAATCGAACGGCTCGACGAGACAAATCCAACTAGCCCAAGATCGCCAAATTCTGACATCATTAAGGCCTTCAAATGCCCAACGAACGGTGCATGATCAAAGGATCCGATATCGGCCGTCCATTCAAAACACTCCCAATTCGCCCCTGATCTAACGCCTATTTACGGGCTATGCCACTCCAGAAAAACTATAAATATAGCCCTCATTCTACACCAAGGGGGCTCAAGTGAAGAGAGAGAAGAAGAAGGGAAGAAGAAGAGAAAGGGGCAAAGGGAATCCCTCCTCGAACCACCGCCGGGATTTTCTGTCGCCCGAATACGCCGGGATTTCTGGCGTGATATTCGGGAGACGCAAGAATTCTTCCAACTTCCACATGATGCTGAAACTCTTTCTCAATTTGCAACAGAGTTCCTCCTGAACGCCAAACTCCGCTCAAGTGAAAGCC